TGCTAAATAAAGTGCTTGATAAGGTGCTTTTAATAAAGTGAAAGGTGTGCTCTAAAGTGCTATACAGATAATATAATATAAATCAATGTAGTAAGGGAGTCCTCTTCCTTACAGCCCCAGAGTAAAAAAGTTAACAACCAAGTATTACATATATTATCCTGTAAGGCCTCACATTTATTTTACTGTAGGAGACGCATATTTAGCCATTTGTTGCCAGCACGTGCTTTCTCTTCCCATCATAATCTTAACTCATAAATCCCTAATTTTTAATGATCATTTTGTGTGGTGTCCCAGATGATGATGATGATGTCAGGTTGTTTTTCTTTAATTATATGCCAAGGAGGAAAATGATATATTTTGTACCATGAGATACTCCTCTTCACACAGCATATTTGTGGTGCAGGTGTAGTAAAGCAGAAATGTTTCTCAAGCTTCCCAGATGGAAGAGTTTAGTGTTCCTGTTGTGTCTAACTTACAAATTTATGCATTGATTGTTTCCAAAAATGCATTCGTAAAGGAACCGTACGAGCTCCTTTTCATGCAAGTAGAGCAGATCCACAAGGCCTGAAGGAATATAGTAGACTCCTGGTTTTTAGGAACAAATCAGTCCCAGTACACAAACCTGTCAGTCCACTGGGTTTCAAAAATCTGCTTTTTCAGAGAAAGAATTAAACATTTTCAACAACTCATTCTGAGCTTTTTAAACTGGATCAATACAAGTGGTGCACATAATGACAGGAGGGATTTTATTCCCCTTGAATTAGTCAAGCTTCCAATGCTGCACTTGTCACTTACCTTAATGACCCAAATCCCATAAAACGTTTCAGGCTGAGGGTGTGTCATTAAGTCGTTACAGGCTTTTAGGAAGCAGAAAGTCAATTTGCAGCGATGGCAAGAACAGTAATTCAATAACGTTCCGTGTTTGTTTTACATTTAGGCCTTTCTTTGCATTTGCTTTCATACTTCTGTTCTCTGCTGTTTTGATTGCTATGATATCCTGGCTTAGGGGTTACTAGTCTCGGCTTCAAGGCTATGCAGCTGCTCTGCCTGCTGTTATAATACCCACACAGTGCAAAGGCTGGAGACCATAAAATGTGGAGAATCTGTCAAAGTGTGGGCCTCATCCACGAATAACTGACCGCATGTGAGGAAATGCTATTTCAACATAAAAATGACTTCACGTTGTGCTCATGAACATACTCTAGCATCTTTCTATAACAGTGTCAATATTTGGACATTGCAAGGCAGCTACTTCTGCTTTTTGTATATGTTTGGTAAAGGCTTACCGTGTCAGAAAAAGCTGAACAGTAAACATTGCATGATTGTGTATTTCTTGTGGTAACTTTTTCTTCAGAAAAGGTAACATTCTTCACTTACAAAAACTCCGTCAGATGTGTAGTTACATCAGCAGTATGCACACATCACCATCATCATCATCATACAGGCAGATAATTTAAGTTTTCAGTGCTACAAAAAAATGTGTACAGTGCAACATGTTGTCTGGTAAGGGTTGACATTTTTGTAGTGGCAGTTAATCAATAACACCAGCACTCACTAGTTTATTCATATAATAAGAAAGAACACTTTGTGATGGAAAATGTAAAAATAGCCACAGTAATAAAATTCCACAAGTAACTGAAACAAGTGCTCAAAGTTCAGAGGTCAAATGCAGTTTTTTGAGCACCATCAGAACACTTGGTAGATTTCACAACATTTTGCACTGCGGGTGAACCTGCAGGTTTG